AGGGGGGTTGGAGATTCATGATCCTTGAGGTCCCTTCCAACCCTGGCAATTCTGTGATTCTGTGATGACACCTCTAGGAGCAAAGTACACTGGACTCTGAAGCAGCTGTAATATCTGTGGAGGAATGAGCAAGGGTTTATATGGTCTTAAGAGAGTCTGTCACTTGACTCAGAAAGAAATTATGCACTCTGAGAAAAACACATGCTAAAAGCTCCCACTTGTAAAGGCTTCTGTGTGGAAAAATAATGAGGCACAGAATCTTTCTTTAGACACGTAGACAAGCAAAGCAGCTGCTCAGTGGCAGGGGCTGCTCTCATGCATGCACTGCTGTGTGCAGACAGGAGGTTAAGGCACATCACACTCAGATTGCCCCCTCACACTTCTTGCTGCAAGGGAAAAGCACCCATCTTCCCAAGTATTAAAATATCCAACTTTTCTTTCAGCTAGTTAACTAAAATTGGGTTCTAAGTGTCTGTAAGCCCCATGCAACAAAAAGGCACTGCAGAAGATCACAGGCTGCATCGGGCTGGAAAGGCTGCCTGGTAGCCAGGTAGCCCACCACCGACTCACCACCAACTGCTGTCTCTTTGTGCTTCCATTAGATAAGGAGTTGGGAAAGTCATATATCAAAATTAGTATCTTCTGACTTCCCGCCAGGTAAATGCATGAGGGCCTTTTGGTTACATTTTTTGGCGCACAACTCCTGCAATGTTGTGGGAGGACTGGAAGCAACTTAATTCCCTTCTACCCTTGATTTAATTCCAGGATAACATACGTTGAATTGTAGGAGTTCATTTTCCCAGCTAATATTTTGACATTCCTACAATATGATCAAATTAAAATGGTAATAACTATGTTTGGCTTGTTTATCCTGCAGGATGGCTGAACTTAAGGGGGGGAGGCTAGAGGGTGTATGTTAATTAGTGCTAATTTGCATGATAGTAAAGTATTGGTTGCCCAGAAGCCATGAAATACAGCTTAGAATCTTCTTGCTAGGCTGAATTTTAATTCATCCAGATTAACTAAATATTACATGTATTAAGAAGGCACTGATTGAAAACACAACTCCAGCTGCACACGGACTTACATAAGCTCACTTTGGTGTAGCCACACACAAACAGGCATCCAGTAAGGAAACCCCCTGACAGCACCTACAGCTCAATAAAAGGAGCTAATACTGAAAGGGAGGCTCTGCTCCAAAGATGTGGCCCTTTCACCTGCTTCTGCAGCAATGCTCACGTCAGTGCACAAAAGTAAGCATATTTTTTTCTAATTACCAACTCTGCACGTTCAGACTTGGGTATGAAAATAAAACAGTGTTCCTTCCTTTTCAAGTTTATTTATACAGCAGCCTGTGCAATAAATTAGAGACTTATTAATGTATGTTTTTAACCATGAGTCTAAATCACCACCCAAGTGTGGTGATGCTCCTGCTGTAGGACAAGATAAGTCTGTTAACAGTGCTGCTTTTTCCTACAGGATTGCTCAGATACTTGTTTTGGCTATCTTTCCCTCCTTGATTTATTGACTCAGCAGGTGTCTCCTCTGCTAGGAATACACTCTGTCATCATTAGTCATGCAAGTAATGCACAACTCCAGTGATTTAATTAAAAATAAGATCAGAAGAGAAAAATCATAACACGACAAAGTAACTACCAGCATGACCTCCTTTGGAAGCCAGCGGAAATGTTGGCATGCATACTCAAAGTTAATTCAGACATTAGAGAAAAATAGTATCTCAGTTACACTCCTGTCCCCCTCCTAAGATGCTTGGCTTCTCCAACAGTTGCTGAAATCACCTGATTTATGCTTTAGCTCCTACAGATCTGACTGGTATTAGGTGCTCTCAGTTGTCTCACACTCAGAAATGTGCATGTCTTGTTGAAGAGATTATCACCTTCTTTTAGGAAACTGCCTGGCTTGGCTGCCCAAGTTTACCCTGTATTTTTGTTTCTTGGGCACATTTTAAAACTTATTTTAAAAATAAATACACATAAATTATATCTTAGACTATCACAGTCTGTTTTCTGTCTAGCCTTTCCCAATAACCAAGATTTTGTGTATATGTATCCCTGAATATAGTTTATAATCTGATGTGCAGTTTGTTTGTAAAATTCAGACACAGTGTCCCAGCTACATCCTTATTGATTACATAAAGTCGAAGCCCATTTTCATTTAAAAATATATACATTGTCCATATTTTTCCAGACTAGCATTTTTGGTCAGAACCTTTTAAAAGTCAGTGTTTCTTTATAAAGTGTTGACCAAAGCACATCAGAGGTCAGCATCGTAAGGCTCTGACTTCTGCCAATCCATGGTAAAACCTACTGCACATCTGGTATTTTAAAGCCCATCAAACCAGCCTCAGAGGAGCATCCTTGGCAGCACATCTGTCAGGGCAGATCAGCCCCACCTCAGCTCCTAGCTCTGGCCAAACCCAAAAGGAAAGACTGGGCAGGGAGTGAGGAGCAGTAGGCACCAACCCAACCAGGTTGTCAGGAGAAGCATTGGCATCAAGACTGGAGAGGCTGGGGGCAAAGAAAACAAAAAAGACACTGCTCAAACAAAATGCCACTGGCAAGGGGCTGAAAGGCAATCCTTGAGAACTGCCAAACTCTGGCACCACAAGTAAAATCGGCCCCTTTGGACAGCAGAACACAATAGAAATGTATTCATAGGGAAAATTCCAGAGCTAAGGAACATGCACTAACATCCAAGCCATATCTTTTCTCACAGGAAGCACGTTGAGCAGCAGCTAACAAATATTTGTTTTAAAACTAGTAGCAAAAGAAAGCAGATCCTGCTACCTTCAACTAGGTCAAGTAGTTATACCTGTGCAGTCCCAATGAAAGTAATTATTCTTTCCAGAAAGCAAACTGTTTCTTTACGTAGGAAAGCCAGAATCAAAACCTCCATAATTTTCAAACACCGTATGTGGACACACACCATCTGCTCTGGAATGAAAAGAAAGGAAGAAAAAATAAATAAATAACTAAACAAACAAAGAAATGGGTTAACAATGCGATTGATGAGAAAACATATTCCTTTGCCACAGACAATACGATCAGAGGAGAGAGAAGAGGGTAACTGCTGACACTTCCCAGCTGCACTGCAAGGTAAAAAACACCTGGCAGCAGTCTGTAGTGACAGACAAATCAATATTCTCTTTATATTTTCCCCAGGAAGAAAGGTCATTTGATCTAAGGTATGCTGCAAACACGGAAAATTATGATGAGATAATGATAAAGCAAGCATTACTGAGAAGACAGAATGACCTGCAGACGGAGCTAATAGCGTCTCTGATGGAGAAGCTCAGGAACACCAGACAGTAGTGATTCCCCGCAATTTGAATAAAGCTGCACGTTGTTGGGAATGTTTACTGATACAAATTGTAGACATAGGGGCAGCAGAGGTTCACAGAAGCAAAAACTTTCTCTGTTTTAGATGCATTCCAGCACCGAGAATTAGATGAGTCAGTACTTCATTTGGTATTTAATATTCCACTGGAACATTATAAATGTAAGCGAACGTTGGCTTTCGGGGATGAGAGTACAGAATGAAAGCAAAAATTAATTGTAGCCGAGTGCTGCTAATTTGCATATCATTAATCTTCATGCCTCATAATTCAAATGCACAATAACAGCAGTCTCTCTCTCTCCGTGTCTCAGCAGCAGCTGAACAGTGCTGCACTGTAATCCCAAATTGAGTATGGAGGCAGGGTTGATAATACCAACTATTACAGAAATTATGTAGCATTGCCTGCATAGAGCTACGCTTGTTGCTCATAGAGCTGTGCCTCACTTTAGCCATCTAGACAGATGTTGGGCATCTTCCTTAAGGAGATTATTATGTTTTTAAAGCTTGAGACAAGATAATTTACTTGTTCCTGAAAACACGGACTTGTGAATGGGAAATGTCTTTGTCTCTAGTGATATTTTTTACAAACTTCTGCTTCCTGCTTTGTGGCAGCAGCGGGACTCTTATTCATCCCACACTGAAAGTAGGGAAGGCCAAAGCACCTGTAGTAGTTAGCCTGTGTTTTTCTCCAGTGTAAGGGCTGGAAGTGTACCTTTTGATTTTCATTACTGTAGAAAATACATAAAAACAGACTAAAAAGGATATTAGGAGTCAAAGAAGCAGGCAGTCAAAAGTTGGGATGTGTGAAATTGAAGGCAGAGAGGGCAATCTGAATTCATCTCCCTTGTGCATACAGATGAGGACGGCGTCTCTAAATATCTGATCCCAAGCAGTTTTCCCACAAATCGCCTTCGAAGGCTGCCTGCATGAGCAGCCATCCTGCTTCCCCACCATTGCCCCGAGGCTCTGTGCACACCAATCAGTGCAGTGGTTCAGCTTGGGCTGAACCCAAAGCAATTACTTCTCATAGGGGTTCTTCGGCACATTACTACCGGTGATTCTGTATCAATTTTTAAATAAATAGCCTTCACTCAGTGAATGAATTAAAAAAGTAATAATCACACAGAGTTGCTTGACTCCAGCTGTGCTCAGCATCTCTGCAAATCCAGACTGGAGGGCCTCAAATGAGGACACATTGATCTTTTAAAGCCAGATTTTCAGAGATGGCCAAAGGTCTGATCAAAAGATCAAATATAAAGAGACTTGGGCAAGGAACAGTTGTTCAATGGTGATAATGATGATTATTATGTTTATTACTATATTTTTGTGTCTAGAGCAAGGAGTTGCATACGTAAAATCAGTATTTCTTGGAACACATGAAAAATTTACACCAATATTTTCAAACAATTTCTTCTGGTCACCTTACACTATTTCTTTCTGCTTAATTATTTCAGGGGAAATATTTTGAAAATCTTTTTAATTTTATTCATTATACATCAATTTTTAAACAAAAGTGCCATTTCACATTAAGAAGCTAATACATTTTATCTCAAAATCATGGAAACCAAGGTCCTTCAGTGTTTTGCCATGGGAAAAGACAGAATTCAGGGTGTAAGTACACTACCACAATTAGACAATCATCTACTTCATTCACCAACCAACAAATGCACAAGGGTCACATGCATGACTACTTCTTTTGCTCAAGTTCTACATTAGGGGAAAAAGCATTCACGGGATTATGATAGCTTTTATGTAGCTTGCACACAGAAACGAGCATGCTAATTCAGCAAGCTTCCTAAACAATGGCATTCCTTGACTTTGGGACTTCAAGTGTTTTTGTTCTTAATCCTAATTTGGTGTTTCTTCAATTAGTTGCAGTTTTCTGATGAATTCCCCTCTTAACAGGAGTCTTGACTGGTCCTATTCTGAAACAACTTCTGATTTTACGAGTAAAGCTTAAACATGAAAGTCAATATGGACAAAAATAATCACTGTTCCCAACTCAAGAAGTGAGCGTCTGGGTTACCCACCAAAGAAGTTGATGGATGTCCACATCCTCCAGCACAGGTTTCTGCTACTCAGACTACTCTCAATGCCTTTGCTGACCACACAGTCAGTGTGAAAGTAGCTGGGGATAGGAACAGGCAGATGCAGCTAAAAAAATTAAGACAAAGGTTGCTTACATGCCTACCAAGATGCCTTTACTTGAACTTCTGTAGCCTAACTCACCGTGACCATTCCAAAATTTCAATAATTTAATCACAGAAAAAAACTATATATAGTTTGATTTTATATATAAAATATTCATTATATATGTGTGCATGTGTATACGCAAATAAACAACAATTAATGACTGGTTATGGGAAATGGACTGGTATGGACAGACCGTCATGCTGACCACCAGCACCTAAAATTTCTACTGATCATCGCAACAGTAAGAATAGATTGAGAATTTAGGTGAAAAAAAGATACTGAAGCTATCTTCAGATGCCTTGAGCCTCTCGGTTTAGAGTTGCTGATGTTGTAATGGTATCTGTTATTACTTAAAATTTTCATTCCTCATTCCAAGCCATTTCTACACAAAACTGAGAGATCTAAGCCAAGATACTATTTCTGCAGCACGTTTATAAATACTTAATTCCATAAGAATGCAGATTCTGAAAGCACGCCAAAGGATTGTTCTGATTGAGACATAAGGCATCATCATCGAAATATTCCTCTTGCTGTTGAAGTGATTTCTCTGGATTACCAGTGAGTAGATGCCAACAAGTTGGATGGATTCCCATAGCATGGGAGTGAAGTGTTTGAGGTATGCGAAGTTATGCTTCAGCACACGGTTCTACTTAAATATATTCAAAATGAAGTCCTAGCAATGGAAAGGGATCATTACTGATAGCGCTGCAGCAATAATAACTCCTCTTCACATGCTGAATACAAACAGTACTTCTCACTTTAATCCAAGTTATATGAAAATTAGAAACCTGAAAACAGATGCACGTGACTGAATGCAAATCGTTTCTGATGTCACCTGAAAATCTCAAAAAAGAGTAGCAAATAGCAATTCAAACTACTAGCAGTATTCTGAAGTTCATCCATTTTACAAGCTAAGCAAACTGAAGTACCTGAGGTAGGCAACTTTTTTCAACAATTTACTGCAAATTAGTAGAGAAACTGGACAGAACTCTGCCCCTAAGCCCTTGAAAATGCACAGGCTTTGAGGAAGGACTTTTATTATATCTTTCACACTATAGCAGATAAGCACTGGAGGAAAAAAAGAACCAGATAGACAGAATCCTCGGATAATCGGCTTTGATTATGGCTGGATCCTTTTCACTTTCACCTCTGCTAATATGATAGCGAATGAGTGTACTAGTCTATTTTAAAGTGATAGTAGAGAAAATACCTGTTTGCATGAGAAATTTGATGAAATAACATCATTAGCTCAGCTATAGAAAGCGATTGTGATTTCAGGCACATTTCACCCTCACTCCCAAGGTGTTGTTTTTCCTCGATAAAACAATTCTATTTTTCTGTTGCATTACCAAAATATAAAAAATGATTATATATATGAGTAAAGGGTTACACCACTGTAAAGCCTTAAAGTATCTTGTACTAATCCACCTCAAAATGCCATGACGACTAAATCAGCTGTAATTTCATAATTAAATAGTCAAACAGAAAATTTCATTTTTAATGAAAACAGTCCCCTACAACCAATTTTTTCCTCTTTCAGGTGTTCAAAGCAATTCCGGTCCAATTATGCATTTTAATATTTCCAATTACCTTTCATTATTCTGAGAATACACATTTTGTATCTCCTTTCCTCCTAGAGTCTCAGCTGAAGTAGAAAGTCTCCTGTGAAGCAGGAATAAGATTTGTGACCAAGTTTTGAAGAAATTCAGAAAGGGACTGGGCTTGTTTCTTATGAAAAATTTATCTATGCATATGCATATGGTAGGCCCAAGAAAAACCATAACGCGTGTAAAATAACTGAAGATAAGCAGCAAAGAACTCCAAAGAGAAGCGTGTGTGTAAATCTATTATGCTGTGAAATCCTCTACACAGGCCATTTTCAGCAAAGAAAAGCCCTGGAGAATAAGCTCAGCGAGTGGAGGGTAGGTGTTTTGAGCATCTCTTCTTTAAAAAAAAAAAAAAAATAGTGGTAGGATACAAAATGGGTGCAACTTAGAAGGTAGAGGAAAAAGTAGGTGTATTCTGTCTACTACAGGCTGCTAATAAATACGAGGGCATACCGCTGGCTCACGATCAATGTGTTGTCAACCAGGACACCCAAAGCTCATCTCCAGCAAGTCAGTCCTTAACTTGTCCTGATGCATGCAGTTTTTAATTCCCCAGGTGTAGGATTCTGCTCTTGCCATTGTTGCAACTTCACAGTTTCCTCTTTGCCCAACTCTCCAGCCTGCCCAGGTCTCACTGAATGCACAGCCTTCTGATGTGTCAGCTACTCCTCCCAGCTTCATACCATCAGCAAACTTGCTGAGGATGCATTCTATCCTTTCATCCCTGTCACCGATGAAGATGTTAAACAAGACCGGATTAGTACCAATCCCTGGGTAACACCACTAGCTACAGGCTT